AACTAATTTCAAATATGTGAAGAGAATCCTAATGACTGTATATAACCCATGGTTATAAAAGACATATGTCTTATTGACTCAAAGTTACCACTGGCATTAACAGTTTATTTTAAAAATTACAAGCATGTTAGTCAATAAGACAACTATTTTTTTAACTTCATAAATTCACCATAAAGGGCTTGAAGAGCAATAAATCTACCCATCAAACAATTCAGCAAATATGCTGAGTGGTGGGACTCTCTTTTGGCAGGTCCCATTAAGACACACCAAAAATACTTGTCATATCCAGTTGGGAGAAAGATAGCAATAGTATTTCCTATGTATAAAAAAGGTATAAAAAGGAACATAACAAACACGTTTGTTAATCTAATGGAGAGTAAATTATCATCAAAATGTCAACTTGTACAGCATTTCCATGACTATTATCAAGTTTACATAAAAGAGGGAGAAAAGGGAGGAGAATACCATGCATACCTTTGACCAGAGTCAGGTGTTATATTTCTACAGCTAGCATGTGAAATGTGCATGTCCATAGCCTGCAGCAGCACCTTGTTGGTGGATGTGATTTATGACAGAGAGAGAAGGGAGGGGATACAGGGGTAAATTTCAGAGGCCATAAAGTGGAAATCACTTTCGGCTATGCAGAAGAACATGCCAAAATGTTGATCCTAATAAATGGATGGATTTCTTTTGAACTTTATCTTGAGGCTCATAAATTAATTAGGTCACCTTTTGGAAACTTCACACAAAGAAGCTTAGATCAAGAGCATGAGTAAATTAAATAAGTCTAACTATCAAGCATCCTTAGCCCTAATTATAAAGGTTTAAAAGGCGAAGGTTATCCTGATGCTGTTTTATGGAACTGAGATTTGGGGCTAAAATATCACTACTAGAACATGCTAATTCAGAGCATATGAGAAATATCTTGGAGGTGTCAAAAGGTGTTTTTTCAAGAGGCAACTGGACTTTCTGACTTTTTCTTGGAAGACGTTTCTCTTCTCATCCAAAAATCATCTTCAAGGAAAANTATTTCAAAATGCAGATTTGAAAAGCTGGACACAATGGTTAAATGTGGAAGATTTAACCAAGTATCTTATAATGAACAGGCTTGTATTTGCAGAGCTCCATAGAAAGAAGGCATACGAAATGTATTTGATTGTCAAATGTATAAGAAAGAGAAAGGTCATCTTGGACCATACATTGGATGAACAACTACTGGGATCCTAATATTGAAACAACATATTTTCAGATTCTTAGGTCAGCGCAGTCTGAGGCAGCTAGGCCGGTAACAATTTTTTTTTTTGGGGGGGGGGACTCCTCATTCTTCCCCCACGCAGTGGGGGAAAGGTGCCAAAGTCTGAGGGGACTGGAAAGGCTGGTGCTGGTTGGAAGGAGCAAGTTTCCCATTCTCTTGGATCCTGTCCTCCCTCTATGGGGGGCCATATGTCACAAAATGGGGCGCAGAGCAATTGGGACGGCAGCAGTTCCTCTGGGCCTGGCACAATCAAGGTCCCAAGGCCCAGAGAACCAGAGCCACAGTAGCTGGGGCGACGACAAAGGAAGGGCCCATGCTGATCGAAACGTCCAGTATTAACAGTGTCCACAGCCAAAGCCACAGTGAAGGAAGAAGAGGAGGGAAGGAGGGGGAGCTGCATCCAAGATGGAATGGCGGCGGCAAAAAGGCCAGCCGCCCAGCCCCATGTCACACCAACACAGGCTTCTCCAGCTCCACAGCTCCACGGGCAACAGGGCAGGCACAGCGGCATGACCCAGCACCCCCCCCCCCCGAAGCGGCAAAGCCGGGCCGGCGGCGATTGGATGACGGTCACGGTGGGACGACGGTCGCGGTGGCTGGGCGGGCGAAACAGCGGCAAGTTGGCGGCCCCCTAAGGCAGCAGGGACAGGTCGACGGCTGGAGCAGATGAAACAGCGGTCGGCAGGGCCGGTGGTCCCCTCCAAGCAGCAGGCCAAGCCGCGGCAGCTCAAACAGATAGAGCGGCTGCTGCGGCGACTGGAGCAGGCGCCTGAAGCAGGCGGGGCATTGGCAAGGTTGGCAGCCACCCCAACACAGCAGGGCCAGCTGCGGTGACCAAAACAGACCAAAACAGATGGAACGGCAGCCGGAGACAGATGGAACAGCGATGAACCACCACCACCCCCCCGACACGACAAAGCCGGGCCGGCGCCCAAAACAGCAGTCACGGTGACCGGAGCTGGTAAGACGGCGAGCAGAGCTGGTGGGATAGTTGCAGGATCAGTAGCGTTTTCTGAGAACAGCTCTTCCAGAAGCGGTATTTTCCTCCGTGAGCTGCCTCACCGAATCCCCCCTATGTTGTTCTTTCATTCTTATCATTCTAGTTCAGTCCTCAAAACCCCGGCTCCATACCTTTTAGGCGTTTTTCCTCCGAAAAATAACTTAGTCAGCTTTATTAAAACCTAATTATTTTGGACTTCTCTTAAGCTCAGATATAACACAGCATTCTTCCTTGCTTTTTCAGATCAGTTATGCAACTGCTTCAGTGGCTCTTAGTGATAAAAGGGAATTCCCATTTTTCCACCGGATGATCCCCAAAGAAGGGATCCAGTACCCAGGAATTGTACAACTGCTCACCCATTTTGGTTGGATCTTGATTGGTCTATTTGCTTCAGACACAGAAGAGGGAGAGAATTTTATGAGGACTTTTACTCCTATGCTTGTCAGGAATGGAATTTGTGTTGTTATATCACAACGATTCTCAGAGATGGGACATACAGCAGCCCTCAGGGATGCCATCTCTAAGTGGAGACAAGTCAATGTTTTTGTTCACTTCATGGAATATGGCTTTTCTTCTGATAGAATTCTTCCTTTCCATTCAATATTAAAGGGTTTGCCAGGACCCATTGAAGGTAAAGTCTGGATCATTACACCCCTTATAAAACTGACAACCAGAAGGCACAGGCTTTTCCAATATATCCATAGTATTTGGAACTTTGATTTCAAAAATAAAGATAAGGCAAACAATGATGTCTTTGAAC